GGCTGCGTGCCGCCCCGGGAGGGCCAGAGTACTGGCTTCCAGCCTAGGCATTTCTCTCCTCTCACCCTGTTCTCCTTGGGCTCCCACCCAGGCCCCATGAGTCCTCCAGGCTGGCACTCCCCTGGTGGCCACAGCAGGGTTCAGATGAAGACCAGCTAAGTCCAGGTGCTTTCCCCGAGCAGCCTGGGAAAAACTGGGACTGGGGCCTCCCAGGCACCCCTGCGCCCCCATGCTTAAACCTTCCCTTCCCCCTGAACGCCACAGAACACAGCCAGCACACAACACGTTGCTCCCCATTGTTCAGAAATGGGTTTCATTCTCAGCCAAGAGACAGCAGACTGGTCCGGCCAGAAGCACACAGCTGCCGGGACAGCACCCCCATGCTCGGGGAAGGGGCAGGAAGGTGGCTGGGGGGCTGACGGTGCACAGGCCGGGAATGGCAGGGAGGCTCGTCGGAGGTGGCACGTGTTGGCGGGGGGGGCTGGGGTGACAGTGTTTGCTTGTAGTTGGGCCACAAGACTCAGAAGGACAGCACACGGCGGTTCCCAGCACCAGAGAAGAGATGCGCGCTTGCACGTGTGTGTGTGCCCGTGTATTATAGACAGGCATAGAGCAGGGCAGGAGCAATACCACCGAGGGGGCACAAGAGTCACCGAGGTCACGCCTGGGGTGTCAGCTCACCACCACAACAGACTAAAGTCACAGATGAAGGGGGAGGCTTGGGGGCTGGGGGCCAAGTCACAGAACAGTCACCCAGGCAGGCCTGGGAAGAGAGGTGTCCCAGGAAGAGGAGGGGTCTGGTTAGAGGCCGAAGGGGCCCTGGGGCTCTCAGGTTGGATGGACTTGCCTGACCCGATCAGCTGGCAGCTGGAGAGAAGCAGAGAGAAAACGGGGAGGGCAGAGAAGGGGGAGAGCTGGGAAGGCAGGTGCAGCCTGGGCTGCAGCGCTGGGGGGAGGTGGGGAGAAGACGAAGCAGGGGAGGGTGTGGGCAGGGGTTCTGGATGAGAGGAGAGGGGGGACAGGGAGGGGGGATGCAGGAGCAGGAGCTGGAGCCTCTCCCTGCTCACTCGCGGCCTCTCACACACACGAGACAGTGCACCCGTGGGCCAGACATGTGATCGGCCCCTCCGGCTCCCTCCTCTCTGCTCCCCTGTCTTTCAACCCACCAGCCCAGGGTCACCCTTAGTGTCAGGAGTAGGCGGCCTCGGGCCCCACGTGACTCCACCATTTCTGATGGAGAAAGACAGGGGAATACCACTGTTTGCCCCGGGAGGGCAGAGCTGAGAGGATGGCTGGAGGGAGCACCGGGGCCCCCTGGGGTAGGCAGAAAGCACAGTAGTTCCCCATATGGACCCTGGGGAGGCAGGGAGGGCAGGAGGCCAGATGCTAGTGGCCACAGGCTTATAAGTCTAAGAGGGGAGCCTCAGCAGGCTGGGGGACCACAGGTCGTGTAGGTGAGGCTGGGCCCTTCCTGGTGTGGAAAAGCAGAAGAGCAAGCATCAGTGTAGGGGTGCGGGGGCAGGCAGGTCTGTGGGGCAAGTTTTACTGACCAGCTTGGGTAGAACTCAGAGAAGCCGACTTGCCCAGGTCAGCCGACACTGAGGTCCCCTGGCTGAAAAAGGAGAAGTGACACTATGGAACAACAGGCCCAGGTCCATGGGCCTGCAGGCAGGCTTCGGTGCTTCACCTGGGGCACAGGGACTGCCTTGGCCCTGTGCTGGCGGGAACAGCAACAGCAGGCACGGAGGGCAAGGCGCTCTGTGGCCTGCCTGGTTGCAAGGTGGCTGCGGGCCGAGGGTGTGGCTTGGACCCTCAGGCTTTCCAAAGCCATCAGACAACCTGAGCCTTCCTGAAGGCGACTCAGTTGCCACAATAAGGAGGAGGGGTCAGACCTCCTCTGCCCTGTGGTGGATCCGGTTCCAAAGCTCCCAAGGTGGCTGCCCTGCCCCAGCAGCACACTCACATAGGGGGATGGGGGCTGCACCCCCAGCATGAATTTCGAAGGCTCCCTGACGGCCTGCTCCCTGACAGCGGCACAAGCGGCCTATCAGCTCAACACCCTGCGTGACCATCTGCACTGCAGGTCCTCGAGCCTAGAGACTTCCACAGCCAGAGAACATCCACCTAGGTGGAAGGCCCGGGTAAGACAAGTCTCAGTGGCTGTCTTCAGTCGGAGGTACTTTGGGAACCTGGGGTTGGCTTGCCTGTATGAACTTAAGTGTGTGTGTGACCAATATAGGAATCAAATTCTCTCTGAGAGCCAACTTCTGACTGAAGCTTATCTATCACCCTCGCGGCAGATGCCTTCTCTCAAACCTCGGTCCCTTGGAGCTTAGGCCAGATATGTGCCCTAAGCGTCTCATCTTTTACTGCAGCGCTGCGTGGCCTCAATACCAATTGGACAATGGCTCCCACGGGCCGAGCATGGCGCTTTTGACTTCTCGATCCTTACAGACCTAAAGAGTTCTGTCACCGCAATGGAAAATGGTCAGAGATCCCTTCGGGCCAGGCTGGCTTTCTCTTGTGCTCCCGTTCCCCCTCCAGCCCCTCCCTCCTGAAAACCTGCCACACTCTCCAAGTCTTGAGACTCCTCTCACTCTTCCCCTCTCTGGACCCTCTTCAACGTTTCTGATCCTCTAGATTCTCAGTCTTCACCTCCTCCAGCTCCCCAATCCGGCCTCCCCTCTTTTTTTCACCTCCTAGCCACCACACCCGTTCTGGGTGGTCCTCTTCTGGTCCCCTCAGGGAAGTGGCGGGGACTGAAGGAGGAATTAGGGTCCATGGTCCTTCCTCTCTGTCTGGTCTCTCCCAGACTGAAAAGCTTCTTGGCTCTTTCACTAACAATCCCACCACCTACACCAAAGAGTTTCCTTGTCTTACCCAAGCCTGTGACCTTACTTGTCATGACTACATGTGATCCTCTCTTCCACCCTGACCTCTGACAAAAGGGAGCAGGTTTTTAGGTCTGCCCAAGACCAAGCAGATCAGGTCCCTGTGACTGACACAACCATGGCCCCAGGCTCTGCAGCAGTTCCCAGCCCAGAGCTGGGGTGGGGCTACCAGACTGACACAGGCAGGGCCCCCGGGGCAGGACTCACCAAGACCATTTTATTACCTGTCTCCTAGCTGGTCTCCAAGCGGCTGTGCACAAAAGTGTAAATTTTGCTAAGCTCAGGGAGATCACCCAGTCTGCCTCAGAAAACCCTGCTGCCTTCCTTAGTCGCCTGACGGAGGCGTTCCAGCGCCATACCAGGCTTGACCCTGACTCAAATGGAGGCTCAACAGTTCTGGCTACCCATTTTATATCTCAGTCAGCTCCTGACATTAATAGAAGCTTAAGAAGTTTGAGAGGACTCCCCTGATGGCGCAGATGGCAAAGCGCCGCGCTGTGAGTCTCTCCGAGGCCTCTGCAGTGCCGGTTCCATGCCGGCCGGCCAGCGAGGGTCCCACATGGCACAGCAGACCTCTCCTGCCTCGCCCGCTACTCCCTTCAGCAGTGTATTTCGTCAGTCTGCCTGTTCTGTTCCCCATTCTGTCTCTAGTGAATCCTCTCACCCTCCCACGTATCTGGCCTGGACCCCGGTTCTAGTGTAAATGAATAAATAAATCTTTTTTTTTTTTTTTAAAGAAGGCTGAGGACTGTCCTCAAACCCCTATCCAGGATCTGCTGAATATGGCCTTGACAGTTTTTAAAAACCGGAAGGAACAGGACAGGGCAGAGAGGGAACTCCGTAGTCTTCAGAAGGCTGGGCTTCAAGCTCAGGCCCCGGTAGGGCCTTGAGACCGCCAGGCCATGTTCCTCCAACCACCGCAGTGCCTGCCGCCCGACAGAGGACGACAACGGGCCCCATGGCCCCCAACCGACCACCGCTGGGAGCCTGCTTCAAATGTGGTCGAGAAGGCCACTGGTCCAGACAATGCCCCAACACCTGCCAGGACCATGCCCCATCTGCAACGTCCAGGGTCACTGGAAAAGTGACTGTCCCTCCATGCCTGGCTGCGGTGGACCAGTCCTTCCAGCCCCTGCAACTCTTGCCACCGGCGGTCTTCGGTTTGGCAGCTGAGGACTGAAGAGGCCCGGACTCATCGACCCCGATAAACTTCAAGGAGCCCAGGGTAACAGTCAAGGTAGCAGGTAAGTCCAACTCCTTTCTGGGCTCTCCTTTAATATGTTGCTGGCCTCCTCCTCTGCAGACCTTCTCTGCCACAATCTCAGCAACACACTGCACAACTCCTCACCTTCCTGGGCTCAAAAGGATAC